GGTTGGAGCCTTTGGCTAATAATTAAGAGGTTTTGAGTTCGAATATATCTTACCGTTTTGATTTGTGTATGAATTCGCCTTATTGGCTCAAATGTCCCACATAAATAAAAAGGTTAGCATTTTTTTATATGTTTTATGTTAGTATGAGAAGACAAATGTTCAATTTTTTTTTTAAAAAAAATTTGAAATAGAGAACATTTAATAAAAACTAAAAAAAAATAAAATAATCAATTTTTATTTTTTATTTATTTTTCTTTAGATATCCTTAGCTTTTGAAAATTTTTATTTTAAATTTAAGCTTCTTTTGGGAGATTTTCCATTCGATATATTTTTTGTACTAAAAAATTGCTTTAGAAAACAATATAAAAATTGTCCCAAACAAAATCTTAATCATAGATTTTCTAATCCTAACACAAGCAATTTTCAAAATATTCTAAAGTAATTTTTTTTGCTAACGGCAGGCAGTTAAGACCGTTTGGAATCTTTACTTCAGAAGAGATTGGCACGACGGGGATGAGATGCTCCCAGCGTAATCACAAAATGTTCTATTGCGGCTGTTATTTGGGCATTTATTATGCTTCATTCTGTTTCATTTCTGCGGTTATCTTAATGTTTCTTTTGAGTTTTAATTTGTTAAGATGACATTTTGTTTATGGGCATTTACTAGTTCTTTCAGTATTAGTTTTTTTTTTGGGCTTCTTCAAGCCGGCCAGTAATGGCTTTAGAGAGTTATTTTATTACTTGTAACCTTTTTTGATTAATAAATAGGCTTCGGCCAAATTTTCCCAAAAAAAAAAAGTATAACATTAATTAATGGCCTCACATATTTTCTAAAATAAAATTGATGGCTTTTTATAGTAAAATGCTATAATAAATTGAATTTATGTATTTATATTGGTTTTGCACTTTTGCGTTGTGTTACATCATTTTATTGCACCTATTGAGTTTTTTGATAATTATCTATTATGTAATGATTATCTCGAGTTATTTTATGATTAAGTGCTTAAAATTTGATCACTCAACTACTTACCCTTTATATTTTTCTTATCAATTTCATATTATTTTACTTATTCTTATTTTCAAAAATAATAAAAAACATTGTTTTTTAAATTTTAAAAAAAAAATTTGGTTGAAGATATTCTAACTAAGGGGTTGTTTGTCAACGAGTAAGATTTAACTTTAGCAGGATTTGGTAAATCTGGATGAAAATCTTGCAAATTGTTTGACAAGACCGATGCTAAATCTTGTTAAACCCTATGAAACTATTTCACAATGTAATTGAGGATTTAAGATGGTTAGTTCATTAAAAAATGATTTAATTTGTGTTTTATTTTAATTTATATTTTAAATACAAGAGATATGTTAAATCTAATTATAATTACCATCAATAAATTATAATTACAAAAATAATATAATTAGAAGATAATTTAACTATGAAATAATTTCTTATATTTATAATTATTAATTACTTATTGTTACTAAATTTTCAATATAAATAATATAATTAAAATTTAAATTAATTTCCAATTAATATATTATTAATTATATTATATTTAAATTAATTTTTTAACTTTTCTTTACCCTTTCTCCACTGTTCGTAGCTCTTCGACATCACCTCCTTCGCGTGATGGGTAGAGTTTTGAACGACAAGCTAAATAACTTCACCTCCTTCAACGACGATCCTTCCTATCGGATCCAAAATCACATTTCTTTATTCGTCTGTTCGAAGGGAAGTAACAATGACAATGCCACCGACTTTCTTTCGTTCACGCACTTCTTCGTCAAAATCAATTGCAATCGAAAGTAACGACGATAATGGGAGCATGCTTGTTGAGAAGGTAGACACCTTTCTTCTGTACATGATTAATTATTTAATATTTTTATTTAATTTTATTTAATTAAATTAATTTATTCCTATACTATATTAAATTTTTTATGAAACTCTTTTTACTAATTTTTTTACTATTTTATTTTCATATTTTTTGATTGACTTGACTCAGTTTTGCTAAGTTTGCTTTTCCCCTTCTATCTGTTTGTTTTTCTTCGACTTGACCTCTTTCACGAGACAGGTAGGTAGAGTTTTCAACGAGTGGCTAATAAACTTCTTGGCCTCCTTTGACGACGTTCCTTCCTCTGGGGTCCGAAATCACACATCGTCGTTCGTTTGTTCGATTGGAAGTAACGACAACGACGAGAGCTTGCTCATTGTGAAGGTAGCCATCTTTCTTCCATTTGCGTGCTTCTTCAGCCCAATACTGTAAATCCACCAAACTCCCAATTTCAATAAATCCGGGATTTACGGCAAAAAGAGAGGAACGAAGGATTTGACTCGCTTTGAGATTTAACGTTTCAAATCCAATATAAATCTTGTTGCCAAACAACCGCTAAGGGTCTATTTGAGAGGTTGCTTTGCTTTTTAGAAAGCAATTACAATTTGATCTAACTATTATTTTTGTATTGCTTGCTTATTATTTTTCAAATTTTGTTTTCATACGAAGTTGTTTTCTACATCCAAAATAGTTAAAATTACTTTCCTCACAACAATCTCGCACCCAATTTGATAATTGAGTGATTGAAACTCTAATCGCTATCAATCAACCCTCTTTTTCCTTGCTCTAACACATCTGATTGCCAAATGAAGTGTATATATAGTAGTTGCATATTACTATTTTTTCTACTATGATAGTGAGGGCTTTAATTTGTTTTTACTCAATTCCAAAATAAATGTTATAATCAAGTTTATTTAAATTTTATTTTATAATTAATGGTTGGGCATTTCATTTGATCATTTTTATTTTATTTTTAAATGCATATTTTATATGATCATGATTATGTGTTGGTATTTAATAATTATAATATTATATGACTTATATATTTGTTAGTCACATTTAATCATATAACTTGTCTAAACAAGTGAATGGATGATATGTGATTTAACCAATTTGAATATTATTCAACTCTTATCTAATACATGTTAGACATTGTTGTAGGCTAGAATATTCGCGACAGTAAAGCAGGAAAAATTGTGCGTCTTAGCATTATATGAGTATTTAGCTCACAAACATAAATAATAAAAACACCAAAACTTTTACGTGGAAAATCTTGTAAAAGTGAAAAATCACGGGGCCACGCCAAGTCGAAATGATTATACAATTGTTTGAATAGGTTACAAAGATTGACCCATCTAGAAACTTGAGGACGGTAAAATTACAATAGTTTGGAGAGTTGGGCAAAAGTCCGATGTCGATAGATAGTAGGTGGAAGTCCAGTGTTGATTGGTGGCCGAACAGAAGTCTGACGATAACTAGTGATCTAGTGATGGTTCGACGTCAGTCAGTGGTTCTATGATGATCGATGTTCCGACGGTGGTTCGGCGGTGGTCAAGGAGGAATTTGGTGACAAGATAACTATATTTTCTCTCTCTTCATTATCTTTCTTCTCTTTTGAGGGGTCTATTTATAAATTTTTTTGGAGTAACATGACTAGTAAATATGAAGAAGATCAATTGCAGGCTAAGAGTGTTATGAATGAACGGTTGATATTGATTCCCATGATCGTTGACCGTTTATCGAGCATTTGAGTATCTTAATGATATCAAAATTTGACGATTTTGAGCACGTTGGATTCGTTTTGTCGAGCTGCTTGTTTCGACTATAATCATCTCTCATTGGAAATCAATTAATAATCCAATTTATGATTCAAACTTTCCGAATGCACTTCAGTTCTTCGATTTGGACCGCTTGGATTGGGTTGAATTTGGTGTGATTGGTTCGTCTTTTTCAGACTTTTAGTTTTATTATTGAAATCAAAGCTCTAACGGTCCTAGATTTAACGTCCAAAGTTTTTAAGTTGGTTTTTCCTCGATTTTTGTGTCCAATCATGATTAATTTTTGATGATATATCATACATGATTTCAAAAACGACGAAGCCAAATATTGAGTGTTTATCGTAGAATTAACCCAATTGAGTGTACATGATCACACAAATTATTCAAAATTAATCATCAAATTCATAATAAGCGAACAAAAATAATGAAAAGAGATTCATAATTTATCATATGAGAAGAAAAAAATAATATATCCTAAGTTAAGATTTGTGAATATTTCATATCACATACAAATAACTGCAAAATAATTTTGGTTACATTTTTTATTTTAGAAATAGTCACAAGAGGATTTGTTCTGAAGTCAGTAGTCTTAACTCATAATAAAAAATGATAAACAATCCTAATTTTTCTCTACTAATAATTGAAAAGTTGTTAATATATTGACAACTAAGTTAATCTAAAATAATTAAAAATAATAAAATGCCAATTTAGTTAATAAACTTTTTATTTTTGTCGCTTTCTCTTTCTCAGTCATATCTCATTACAGTCACGCTGACAGGTTAATTTGTGCTGGCAAGAGGATCACCAACCCTTCCTAGTTATTTATCTTTGCAAATTTTTTTATTGTTTTTTAAAATAATTTATTAAATTTTTTACTAAAAAAATATTTAGTAATTTATTTTTATATTATTAAATATTTAAACATTTATTATTATTATTATTTAAATATTTAAATTTAATAAATAAAATGAGTTTTTTTAAAAAAATAGTAATAATTATTTGAGCAGGCTCGCGAGCTCACTAGCCAAGCCTCATCAAGCTCGAACTCGATCCATAAACTTGTCAAGCTCGTGCCGGCTCGCCACTCACTTACACCCCGAGTTGCACCCCTAGTGCACGCAGTAGCAACAAACATCAACATGTGATAGTTCGTGACAGCTGCTGATAGGCGACGATCGGACGCCATTAGTGGGGAAGGTGAGGTCATGGAGTATGAGTTTTATTTTCTTTTCTTAATATTATAGATCAAAATTCATATCAACTGTGATTATATAAATGGTCAAGCCTACGGCCATAGATACAATCAGGGGTTGATCACGTCGGGTTAGACCCGCAAGTTTGAAAATAACTTATTTGAGATGAATTTCTTTCGTTCTTTTTTAATTTGTTTTAAATGTCTTCGTAGGTAATGGCTTCCGCGTTCCGATGGATTCAGACGGGTCGGGAGACTGAAGACGAAACCCATTGGGCCACGGCTTCTTCGTTTCTCTGCCCTCCGCTTGGAATTTCAAGTAAATTTCAAAGGCAGACGTCGTCAAACTTTTCACTCTCTATAAACAGTTCGATGCTGAGTTTTCTAACTTCGGAGACGTGTGGGATAACTTCGTTTCTGTGGCCGGTGAGAGTAAGTTCTTGATTGGGCATATTTTCCCCAAATGAAAAGTTGTTTTATTTTTGTGTTTGATGTTCTATAAATTTTCAGGTGATGTTAGTTAATTGCCATTTTTTCTTATGGATTATCTTCTTTGATTGCAGTAAAAGTGTCATGTTCCAAAATTAATTTGTAATTGAATGCAACTGATCATGAGCTTTCTATTTCCTTTTCAAATTCTATAGAAAAAAACCCTAATCTTGAGCTTGTTGGCGGGCGACTTATCTTAGTAATAGGAAATTATGGAAATTGCTTAATATAGATTCAGTCCTTACTCCTTTCAGTTTTTCCGAAGATAGTTATGTTGTGAAATTCTTAGGATATCTTTGTTCTAGCAATCATGTAGGGAATTTATTGCTAGGTTAGGTTTGCTGTTGATTTTTTAAGAAGTCTAGGTTTCGCAGAGTTCTTTTTGGGTAAAGATATTATTGGTAGACTTTAACTTCGCCCTTTATGGGAAGAATGGGCTTTGAAGTGGCAAGACAGTCACCAGGGACATGGAGTAAATGGAATTTATTGTTTAGGGATTAAAAGCCTACTTGGTTGAGGCTTCAATTAAGCTAGGCTAAGCCTTTAAACATGGTTAAGATGTTTGTTTGCTAAAAAGATAAGCTTCTTTAAACTGAAATAAGTTAAGAAAACAATTTGATTGGTTTCAGGCTTAAACTCATGTTATTAGAATCATCAAATGCAACAGGATAACCATTAAAAGATAAGCTATGATAAGGTAGGTTGAAGGTCAATTTGGCTTAGTCATGCTTAAGCAAATGGAACATGATAAGCAGCACTAATCTTCCACACTTAAGATAAAAAAAAATAAAAAAACTATTTCTCTTTTTGGTTCTTAAGTGGTATTAAGAGTCGTTTAAAAGCCAACCAAATGGACCCTAACATATCACGTCTTCCTAAATGAAACCTTTCAGGGTTGATTCTAAGTTCATTATTGGGCACTTACAATTTTGTGGCGATCCGAATTGGAAGCTAATGTATATTTTACATTTTAACATTAACATGAATGACTTGGTTTACATGAAATTCTATGCAATCATGAAGGCAAATCTAGTTGCATGAAATTCTTATAATTTTTCTGTTGATTTTTTAGAATAAAGTTATTAGCAGGTGATTGTAAATGTAGTGTTGATAAGTTCACTTTGAAAAGGGCATAATTTATAAGCAAAATTATAAATGCTTATCAGCCAATGATGTGATTTACAACACAAATCTGAAATGCAAATTTGGGAACTCAAAACGGACCTTAGAATTGCCCTGAATGCTACACTAAGGGCTACTTTGTTTTGGTTTAAGCGAGTGGGAGTGATTGAAACTCAATCACGTGGAAGTGAGTTCAAATATGTATTTGATAGGAAGTGAATGAAAGTGAATTCTTATTTTTGGAGCACATTTTCATAAACGTGATGAGTGGGTTTCAGTTTTGAAGGCTAGGAAGTCACTTTTAGTTTTAATTTTTTAGATCTAATAACAATGTAATAATAGAAAATTGATGGGATGATGGTTCATAATACTCAAATAGTATAAATTAATGTAAGGATAAATTAGAATAAAGACTAATGCACCCCATACGAACACAAGAATTGAGTTCTAAAGAAGTGACTTCTAAAAAACAGATAGAGAGAATGGACACTCACTTCAAAGAAATTTGCCTCCATAACTCAGCTCTAATCACTTTAAAAAACTTATTATGAAATTAACAAGCCTTGTTTGTGTATCAAATATGGACAGAACTACCTTAAGAAAGCTACTTCTAGATCACTAAGTTCTAATTAGTTTCATAAGCGTCAAGGTAGTATTATTGCTTTAAAACCTAAATCATGCAATCACCATCATCTTTTTTAAACTTAGCTTGACTAGTTTGGATTGGTTGAAACCTTCACACTCCTCTGCTAGTCTGAATATTGCTTTTGTTGGCTATTGTTCATGGACATTTTGTTTTAATAATTTCTTGCTTATCTTTTTTTGGCTATCCTTTGCTTTATGTTGTGCATTTTTAAATCATCTAGCTTTGCTTTTAATAAATTTATTTCAAATCGGTGTCACATCCCTTTTAGTTTTATCAAATGTCTATTTTAACACACTCATTTATACCAAATCTAACTTTTTTTCAACTTCTATATTGCTTAATACTCAAAATTTATCTATTCAGCAAAATTTGTCTATTCAAGCACAGATCTTGACTTAATATTTAGATCTTAAATCATCCAAAATTTTGAATAAAAAATTTTCTGAATAGACTTTAGGATTATCCAAATTATAATTTTAACAAATTTATAATGAAAACAGCCGGTTTGGTAAGGCCGACCTAATTATACAAAGAGCAACTTGATCTAAGTTCAAATTAAAGTCAAACACTTGGAAATATAATTGAAATTTTCTCAAAGCTATTTGAATAAACATCCTTCACAGTTTGGGTGAAAAATATGAATTCAACTAGCACAAGATCATTTAGTTCCATTATTATTAAGGCACCGGTGCCCGGGTGCAGTGTTAAATAGGCAAAAATTCTTATATCATGGACGAATGTGGGCAAAGAAACTAATCCATGAAATTAAAATTAGGATAAGATCTTGAAATATAGGATTCCTTACAGACAAATTAATGAAATTAATAAATATTATGATTAATAGGAAGATAAATATTCTATGCATTTAGGAAACTAAATGGGTTGGAGAGAATACTATGTAGATTAATAGTTTAAAATTTAAACTATGATATTATGATAAGATTTGTACTAAAAATGATGTATATGTGATTATAGATAAGAGTTTAAAGGATAATGTAGAAAAAATTAATATAAATGGAGATATAATTTTAGCCGTTAAGATTGTTATTGATGCTATGATTATTAATATTATAAGTGCTTATGCTCCTCAAGCAGGTTTGGATATGAATTCAAAATTAAAATTTTGGAATGACTTAAAAAATTACTACAAAAGATATCTTTTTTTATTTTTTTTTATTTGAGGAGATTTAAATGGACATGTTGATAGAAAGTTAGATGATTTTAAAAGCATTCATGGTGGCTATGAGTTTGGAGTGATTAATGAAGAGGATAAAATCATACTATATTTTTCTATAGCTTATGACTTGACAATTGCTAATACCTTATTTAAGAAAAAAGATGAACATCTAAAACTCAAATTGATTACTTTCTTATAAGAAAAAGAGACCGTTTAGATTGTAATGATTTTAAAGTTATTCCAAGTGGAAGTTTATATATCTAATATCGCTTATTAGTTTTGAATGTTAAGATAAAGGGGTATAACATAAAAAATAAAGTAAAACATTGTTCTAAAATTAGATGGGGACTTTTAAAAAATATTAACTAAAATATTTTTTTAGTAAGATTTTAGATCTTAAAATTTTGTCTGTGCATGACAAAGCTAATGCTATGTGGGAAAAAGTAATTAGTGATATTTAGAATGTTGCAAAAGTTACAAAAGATGTGTTTGGAGTATCAAAGAAAAAATTTCCAAATAGTAAAAATAGTTGGTGGTGGAATTAAAATGTGCAAGATAAGATAAAAATTAAGAAGATTTGTTATAAATATGTAAAAATTTGATAATTAGAAAATATATAGAGATGTCTGTAAGGAGTCTAAGAAAGTAATATACGATACAAAGATTTTAGCTTTTAATAATTTATATAATAAATCTAAGGAAAGTGAAAGATATATGTATAAGTTTGCCAAACAATGAGATAAGAATAGTAAGGATTTAGTGCAAGTGAAGTATATTAAGGATGAAAATAAAAAAAATACTTTTATTTGAAGAAGATATTCAACAAAGGTGGATGAAATATTTTGCTAAACTTTTCAATGAAGATTGTGAGAATATGATTGACTTTAGTGACCTTAACATCCTAAATAAAAATAAATTTTTTTATTTTTATCGACGTATTAGTAAAATCAAAGTGAAAAAGGCTTTAATAAAAATGAATTGTGGAAAAACTATTGAACTTGATGATATTCCAATAGAGGTGTGAAAATGCTTAGGAGATGAAGGAATTTCTCGACTTACTAAACTTTTTAATGAAGACTAAAAAGATGTCAGATGAGTGGAGAATGAGTGTGTTGGTTCGTATGTTTAAGAATAAAGGTGATGCACAAGATTGTGCGAATTATAGAGGAATTAAGTTAATGAGTCATACTTTAAAACTTTGGGAGAGAGTTATGGAGAATAGGTTACGACGTGATACTAATGTTTCTCAAAATCAATTTTGATTCATGCCGTATAGGTCTTCTATAGAAGCTATTCATTTATTGGGAGGTTTGATAGAGAAGCATAGAGAGAATAAGGAGGTTCATATGATTTTTATTGATTAAAGAAGGCATATGATAAAGTTTCAAGAGAAGTGCTTTGGAAAGTTTTAGAAAAGAAAGGAGTTGATAATGCTTATATTCAAGTTATTAGGGATATGTATGCAGGTGTTGTTACTTGTGTTCAAACGCAAGGTGGTTTGATCAAGTATTTTCCTATTTCAGTTGGATTACATCAAGGATCATCCTTAAGTCCATATCTTTTTGCTATAGTCATGGATGTTCTCGGTAGACATTTACAAGAGGTTGTACCCTGGTGTATGATTTTTGCTATGATATTCTTCTTATTGATAAGACTAGAGATCGAGTTGAAGGTAAACTTGAATTATGGAAGTCAATCTTAGAGCCTAAAGGTTTTTATTTGAGTAGATCTAAAATTGAATATATGAAGTGTAATTTTAGTTGTAATAGATATACTGAAGGGTTTGCGACATTGGGCGATCAGGTCATTAATAAGGGTACACGTTTTAGATATTTTGGGACTATTATTCAGAGTGATGGTGAAATATATGGGGGTATTATTAGCAAAATTCAAGTTAGATGGTTGAAGTGGATGAATGCATTGGGCTTGTTGTGTGATAGAAAAAGTTCCCTTCAAACTTAAGGGAAACAATGCTTTATGGTGCAAAATGTTAGCCATTAAAAGAGAAGCACAATATTAAGCTAAGTGTTGCATAGATGAGGATTCTTAGGTGGATGAGTAGCTTTACTCTTACAAACATGATACAAAAATGAGCATATATGTGAAAAGGTTGGAGCAGCTCCAATGGAAGATACGATTAGAGAGGGTGGCCTTAGATGATTTGGTCACATAAAACAGCGGTCTTCCGATGACCTGGTTAGGAGAGTAGATGTATTAGATTTGACTTATATTAAGAAAGGTAGATGTAGACCTAAAAAGACTTGTTTAGAAAATATTGGAAATGACATTTCTTTTTTAGATTTAAATGACAATTTGACTCTTAATTGAACATGATGGAGAAAAATGATTCATTAGCCGATCCCATTTAGTAGGATAAAGGCTTGATGTTGTTATTATATTACTAAGGCACCAAGATGTTTAGAAAATGTCATACAATTAATGGGGATCGACTTCTACTGTCAAATGGAATGCTTTGGAGTTGAAATAATCCGAATGCCCCTAAAGAAATTTATAAATATCATATACTTTTACACAAGGGGGATGTGATTGTAGGGAAGACTTGATAGAAATAATTCATGTACTTGGAGAATTCACGAGCTCTGACCATCAACACTTAACGCCCTTTGTTGAACAACATAGAAACCTATGAACACTAATTCTCGACATTAACGAATAAAAATGCTTGATGTTTCCCACCCCCAACTATTTCCATCAACCAACGTCATTGTTTGACGTAGATCAACCATGACACCCAACTCTCTCCATTGTCATTATTGTCGATACTGGATGTCACCATTGCCATAGTGTCCACCACAGACTCATATTGTTGCTAATGACGTTGATGCTGACAATGCAAATTCCCTTCATCGCCAATTAAACTGATGTTCATCATTGTCGCCAACGATGACATTCGTTGTAGCCACTAATGTTGGCATCAGTCTTTGCCAACAAGACAGACGTCAGCTATCTCCAATATGGATGATGTCCATTGTTATAAGAACCAGCTGTATTGGACCGGTCCCCTTACTAAACGAATGAAGTAGCAGAGCGTGGGGGAGCATGAGAGCACAAAAACGCGTTAACGATTAGACCAACGCGATCGAAAGGGTATAAATACGACTCCTCATGTGAAATATCAACTTTTGCTCTATCCAATAAAGTTGAATGATAAAAAGGGAAATTTAGGAGCTGAGATTGAGAGGAATTTGTGTGAAAAAGAAATTGGAGGAGGACAAATTTTTTTTTTAAGGTAGTCAAAATTTTGGTGTTAAGCGAGAAGAAGAAGAAATGAGCCTTCATTTCTGACGACGGTGAAGGAGAAGAAATCAAATTAGTAGAAGTTTCGATCCAACAAAGAAGGAAGAAAATTTATGACACAGTTCAACCTTTTTGAATGGAAAGCAGTTCAAGATGACACGACAAACATAATTGGCCTTTTTGAATGGCAAGCAGTTCAGCCTCTTTGATTAAAAATCAAGAATTAAAAATTAATGAATAAAATTTGGTTCTTTCTGGCTCCGCCACTGTCAGCTTCCGGCTAGTAAAATGTTGTATTAATCGGGCAAGGCATTCCAAATGAGAACCACCAAAGAATCATGGACAACTATTTTAATGTATTCTAACAAGATGACACGACAAGCATAACTATTTTAATTTAGGCCCCCGCCCCCCCCATCGGCAACCATTGTCGACCATGACAACCGCTAACACTGATGACTCCATAAAAACATAAACATAAGCGAATATATATTTTTAAGATATGAAACAAGTTTTATTTCAAATTAAAATATAAATAAAAAACCAAAGTGATAACATACGGCCGCTAAAAGTTCTATAACTTATTGATGAAATTTGAACTTTGCAACGTTCTTAAGTATTAATTATCAAGGAATAAGAAATAAAATAAGCGGAATTATTATTTTATGCATGCAGATAAACTGAAAAAACATTATTTAGCTAAATTTTTTTTAGAAAAAATTGTCCGAGGTGTCATTTTAGTTCATTTATGTTCTATAACACAAGTTTGAATTAGTAATTCTGGTCTATGCACTATTTGGGCATATTTCTCTCATATTAATGCATTTTATTTGGCAGGTTGCTACTGTTCATATAAGACAGTCAGTTGTTCTTCATCAACAAGTTTGCGGAGTGATTTAGTTAAGAACTAATGACTTGTTGCTCTTTCATTTTAAAGAAGAGTTCATCGAGGCAGAAAGATAAATCTGATGAAGGTTGGAAAATCTTTTGGCTGGTACTTTTCAGTATTTCATTTCAAAGTTGAATCTTGTTCTTCAGACACAAATTTTCTCTTATCCCTTGGAAATTGTTAATTTATATTTGTATTGAAAAGTAACTGCTGATATTGATCTTCATTATAGAAGTACTACAAAATGTGAAAATATACTCTTACAAAGTATTACGGAAGGCCACTGATAATTTCAGCCCCGCTAATAAGCTTGGAGAGGGAGGTTTTGGTTGTGTGTATAAGGTAATTGTTGTATATTTTAATTCTACTTTAACTTAAGCTGAACCTTCTAAAGTAGTTCTTTTGTTGAATTTCTCAGGGCAGGCTAAAAAATGGTGAAATTGTTGCTATTAAAGTTCTCTCCTCTGAATCAAGACAAGGAGTGCGGGAGTTTTTGAATGAGCTTACTGTGATTTCCAATGTAGTTCACGAGAATCTTGTTAGTCTAATTGGTTGCTGTGTGGATGGAAACCAGAGAATATTGGTTTACAATTACCTTCAGAATAATAGCCTTGCAAAAACACTTCTTGGTAACTTGTTTCTTCCACTTTGATTTTTAATGTTGTAATATTCTCTACAGTGACTGTCATAACCATATGCGTTAGCTTTTGAGAATATTTAAATTTATCCTATTTCTAGGTACGGATTATAGCAATATTCAATTCAGCTGGATAACACGAAGAAAAATTTGCATTGGTATTGCTCGAGGACTTAAATTCCTTCATGAGGAGGTCCGGCCTCACATTGTGCATCGTGATATCAAAGCAAGCAATGTTCTTCTGGATAAAGATTTGACTCCTAAAATTTCAGATTTTGGTATAGCAAAGCTTCTTCCTGCTGATATGTCCCATATTAGCACCAAGGTAGCTGGAACAATGTGAGTGAAACTCTTTAGCTTGTCCTCGATCCTTTCATCCTTCACATATTTAATTGATACACTATTCTCGGCATCCTCAATTTTTGATATGCTTGTTCAACTATAGACCCATACTGACTTTGTGGTCTTACATACTCCAATTCAATGGATTAAGTTGGAGACTGTTGGGATTGTATCATACTCGGAGGTCTGTGCTTGGAAGTATCGGACTAATTTATATATATCCTAATTTTGAGATGCTCCAATGAAGGCGTGTAACCGAGCTAAGCTGAATCATGAGTTGTATTGGTTTGTCTTGATAAATAGCTCATAAGTTTTTTACGATGAGCTATGATGCACCGACACTTATCCTCAGAGGTGTGTAGTGTCCGAAACGACACGCGTCTGACACGCCTCCGATACGTACCGTATATGCCGAAAACGTGTTCGATTAGAAAATATTAATACAATTTGGGCATGCATGTCCTACACACGTCTTATATATTTAATGATATTTTTTAAAATATTATTTCTTGTATTTAAAATTTTTATTTATTTAAATATGATAATTAAATTTCTTATTTTCTATCCACAACACCAAATCAATCGCCCACACTCAATATCTCATTCATCGAACATTCTCATTTTCATTTCTGTTTGGCGGGTCGCCACTTTGGTTTCACAACAAAGCTTGATGTTTGCTAGACCGGTCCAGCCGGTCTATACAGGACTGGCTCGCGTGTAACAGAGGCGGAAAAGTTCCGCCTCCCGCTCGTGCCACTCAAACCGTAAAGTCCAAAAGCTTTGATTAGGAAAGATTTAGGAGTTTAGGAGGGAAATTTGAACGTATGGGCTATTTAGAGATTTCCTTTTGGATTGTATGCATTAAATAGATTGTTTTCCTATGATTGGGGCATCTTGAATTTGGTTGAAATTTGAGATCTCTCTTAGATACTTGGGCTCTAGCCGCCGGCTAGGTATTGGGAGAGTCGGATCTTCCTCTTGAATTGAAGTTCCATTGTATCTTATTTACTTTTGTTCATCTTTCATCAAATAAAATTTGTTTCATTGTTGTTCGTCTTCCTTCTCAAAAATTGTTTGCAAGTGGCAGATTTTCTCGGATTTTAGCAAGGGTTTTCTAGGTGTATACAAGTATTTTCTATCAAATTGGTATCAGAGCAATTTTCTGGGCTGAAATAGAAGTCTTCCTCACTGAATTTTGTTGTGTTTCGTATCCGATCTTGTTGTTTTTGCTGATTAGAGGCCATAATGCATGTCAAACTTGTTTCTTTTTTCTATTGGAGCCTAAATTCAGGTTCCTATGGCAGGAAAAAAGGTAGAAGTGTTGGAAGGGGAGATCAGACAATTGAAAACTGAAATTTCAGACCTCCACACTCAACTTTCAGATGTCAAAAGATAAATTTCAGCCATCCACGAGAAGATGGATGGAATTTTTTCCAACCTGGGGGAGATGTTGAAGAAGTTGCTCGAGGGCCAATCCAAAACAACGTCGTTAGAGGCGAGCGAAGCCTCCGACAACCCAGGAAGAGGGGAAAACTCTTATCCAATAAGCCAAAGGGAAGATCAGGAGGTGGAGACTCGAAAGAAAAAAGAGAGAATACCTCCCTTAGAGTCTATTCCTAAAGAGGAGCCGTGTAGAGGGTATGGGGAGAAGTGTGAGGAGGTGGAGCATGAACAAGGGGGTGCTGAATTTGAGGGAGAGGGGCTAGATTTGAAAAGGAAATGGGTAATTATGATCGTAGGGAAGCTGAAATTGAAAGGAGAGGGATTTATTATGATCTAAGGGGTGCTAAATTTGAAAGGAGAATGTGAGAATTTGATGAAATGTTTGGGTATGAGCGTAGAAGGGATGATTGGGACACTTGGGGGGAACCGCCTCCTTGGGTAATGGGAAATTATGGAGGAAACAGGGGGAATGGAGGAGATCTGAGGGTGAAGAAGCTAAAGATGCCTATTTTTTATGGAGATGATGCCCATGGGTGGATCTAGAAGGTGTAAAAGGTACTTTATTGTCAATATGCTGATGGAGAAGGAGAGTCTGACGACAGCTAGGATGTGCTTGGAAGGGAAATATTTAGCATGGTACCAGTGGAGGGAAACAAGACGACCCAAATGGACCGAAAGGGAGTTTAAAGATTGCTTGTTGGAACGTTTCCGAATCAGCAAGGGAGGGGACTTCTATGATCAATTCTTTGCCTTGACGCATGAGGGGACGGTGGTGGAATATTTTGAGAAGTTTGAGCACCTGGCCAGCCGACTGGACTGGCTTCCGAAGGCTGTACTGGAGGGGAATTGATTTTGGCCTAGATGCGGACCACTGCAATTTGATTTTGGCCCATCGATCAAGCTTCATGATTTGGGAACAAATTTGAGTTGACTGAAAACTCAATTTTTGTTTATTTTCTCGCAATTGGGTTAACATTCAAACATTGGAGTGAAATTGGGTTCGAATCGAACATAGTTTGACTTGACTCGAGTCAACTTGGGTCCAATTTCATCTGCTTATGTTAATTTGATGAAATTAAACTCAAGTCGACGTCGATTCAATCCAAAGTGGGATCGCGGAGCTCAATCGAGTCAATCACGCATGCTCGAGGAGAAATCACGATAAAAATTGAGGTCAACAGTTGTCTGGACTTTTGATGCGGTAGGCTCTTAAGACAAAAATAAGTTTTCTACACGTTGAAATGTAAGCAATCTAAAATCAACTGTAAGCTCAATGATTTTCAAATATAAGAAAAATTGCATGACTTCTTTTAAGGAGCTATTTTTTAAAAAATTTAAAATGATTATGCATAGCCCAATGAGTCTCATGTCGAAAAGTCTTCACGTAAAGATCAGATAACAAAAAAAATCTGCATTTGTGAATCAACATTCTGCATACTATTCATGGTCAGACATCTTGGCCTCAAAGCTAAGTTGTAATCACTATTCTCTAAACAAAATAACATTCCTACTCTTCATATGCATTGAAATTGGATGTCATGGTTTTAAAAGTGACTAGGTGAGTTAGCTTGTAGCTCTTTCTAGACAGAGTAATAAATTCAGAGGTCGGGCTGGCTATGCCTCATGTGAGGTGTAGTTTGTAAGTCCCTTGCACTCCATTAGACTTAGGTTTGAGGTTCTACCTCTTAGTAGTCCTCACCTTAGTTCTAGTGTCTGAGGCAGTTGTTGACTTGAATCACTTCATTAGCCCTCAACTTTCATGCATTTTCTCCAACTTGTGTTGTTGGAATGTAAGCCCCAACACTCTAAATTAAAATTGTTAATTTAAAAAAAAAAAATTGGATTCTAAAATATAAAGCCCAACATAAGATAGTTTGAGTATTTTTGAGTTTCTCTCAGAATCAAGTATTCTTACTCTTTCTCTCTTTGGCTCTCATTCCAAGAATTCTAATCAAAGTTGATTCCCCTCTTTCTTTGAAATTTCTAAATATTAAAAATCTTTAAACAATAATTTCATGAATTTTAAAATGAAAGCCTTTAGCCAATATTTTGATGATTTTCAAAAGAAAGGAAATCACTAGTTTAATAAAAAAATTATCAAGTACTAAATACTTGAGATGTAATTAACCATAGGGGCAAGCCCCTATGTGACATTCATACCCCATAATAAAATAAACCTCATTCAACTAAATATTGAGTGTTGAAAAATCTTTGTTAAAATACAAATTGTAAATTTATCATTGAGTCCATAAGAGAATGATATTTTTTGACATTTGGGATAATATATCATTTTCTATGCCGTGTTCGATCACAAAATATGCAATCCGTTGAGGATGATAAAATATCTCTAACAAACCCAGTTTATTCGGAAAATGATTTGGGCTTGAACTAACATGGCTTATTAGCCATGAGCCAGCTCATTTAATAAACTTACGTAAGATAATTTTGTAAAATACTGGAATCCAAAGATTTTTTAATTCAAAGTTATTAAAGAAAATTAGAAATCTTGATTCCCCTCTCTCGTTTTTTATCTCTTGTTCTTTCTATGGTTCCATCACCTTGATGCCTGGGTTCAACTTCATTTTCTCAATTTTTTGAGAAGACAGCTAACCTAAGCTTTCTGGAGCTCATCCAACCTGGGCTTCAAAGACAGCTTGCGCTCAATTAATTGTCTAGCTAAACTTGAGCGATTGGTGGCTTGTGCTTACTCAGTTCCTTTTACAACCCTAGTTAGAAGTCTTCAATAAGCTTGCAGTATCCTATGTATATGGCTATAATCAGAATAAAGCTTATTTATAAGAAAGGACAAATTTTTCTTCTAACTTCAGTTTCTGATTGTGTAGAGGTTATTTAGCTCCAGAATACGCTGTACGTGGGCAATTGACAAGGAAGGCCGACATATACAGCTTTGGTGTTCTTCTAATGGAGATAATTAGTGGACGAAATCACACAAACACAAGATTACCATATGAAGATCAGATTCTGCTTGAAAGAGTAAGAAAATTGTATATTTTCTGCCAGCAGGCGTTATTTTCATTTTTTTATTAAATTAATATCTTCCGTGTCATATCTAGCTCACAATCTATTTTTATGTATATTCTATCGAGTTAGCAATTGTTATTTCAATTAAGCTTGCAAGCTTATAATTCTGTTCTTTTAATGTATTCTGGAAATTGGAGGAAGTGTGAATGCATCGACAATTAAATTTATATAAAATGATGAATTCTATGAATATTTCTGTTTGGATAAATTTCTTAGCAACCTGGTACGCACATCATGCTCTGTGTATTTGTTAATCGGATTTATTCTCGTAGAAGTTTGGATGAAGTAATGTCATGGGAATTTGGTAGGAAACACTTGAAGATGTCAAGTAATTCCTATCGATCGTTAGAAAAACAGCGAAAATCCTCCACAAGAATCCACACAAAACCAAGAAGACAGTGGAAAATTTGTATTTTTTGATGAAATAGAAACGGAAAATAGCAAGATACAGTTGATCTTCAATTCGGGAGGAGGATCGATCTCTCCCAAATCTCTAGACGCCGCTAGAGCCCAAAAGAAAACATAAATCTTAGAGATCTCCAATTTCAGCCAAATTCAAGATGCTCTAACCCTAGGAAAACAAACTATTTAATGCATACAATTCAAAAGGAAATCTCTAAACAGTCCCTACATTCACTTTCCGTCCTAAACTTCCTCAAAAAACCTTCCAAAGATGCTCCGTTAGCTCCTGCGGTCGGATAGGCCTCCAGGAGAGGCGGAAGATTTCCACCTCTGTTTCGCAGGGGCCAGTCCCGCACGACCAACTGAATCGGTCCAATGGACCGGTCTAACAGAATCCTTTTGAAATTTCAACTTAAACCCGTTTCTGGATATTTATTTTCTTATATTTCTATGATTTTTATACATGGGATTTCTTAAATTTCAACAAATACTATTTAGACTTCAGAGTTCTATGAAAGTTGAAAATTTTACTAAGATAATTAACCAAGTCAAAAAATACTTTTCTTGGTGATTTATATGGTTGAGTAGGTACTAATGACGGAGAAAAGGAAATATATTACATAGCTAAGGTGAGATAAGTGAGATAGACAGCAATCAATTTAGATGTATTTTGAGTGGAGATAAGATGCTAGTAATTAAACATCAAAGATTAGATTGAAATGCTGTTTGAATAAATTGAAGTTTTTTATGAGAAAACTTTTCTAGATGAGCAGAGTAAATAGAATCATCAAGCATAGCATAGCTTGATTGTATTAGCTTTGGAAAAAATGCATAAAAATTGGAGTGGTCTATTATTAATCAATTCAAGATTAAGGGTAGGGTAATTGATCGGAGAATCATTTCAGCACTTGTTTTAAGAACAAAAGAAACATTAAGGTTTCTAATAACTTTAGAGCAATCATGCTTATTATATGATTGTAGTAGAACACGTTCAGAAAGTTCACTTTAATATGAAATGTCCTATCATGAATTAGATCCTCTTGGGCTCCTCCTGCAGTTAGTCTACTGATAGGAAGTACTTGTAGATCTCAAGTATTTCCAATCAATCTTCGAAAAACAGCAAGCTTTCTCTACCAAAATTCACACAAAACCACAAAAACAATATGATAATTTGTATTATTTGATAAAAGGGAAATGGAAAATAACAAGATACAATTGATCCTCTATTCGAGAGGAGGATCGATCTCTCCCAAATCTCTAGACGCCGCTAGAGCCCAAAGAAAACATAAATCTAAGTGATCTCAAATTTCAGTCAAATTCAAGATGCTAAGGAAAACAAACTATTTAATGCATACAAATCAAAAGGAAATCCATAAACAGTCCCTACATTCAATCTCCCTCTTAATTCCCCAAAAAAACTTTCCTATTTGGCTCCCACAATGCTTGCGGCTCGCGCGGCATCTGTAGGAGGCGGAACAGCTCCTTTGTTTCGCCCGTAAGCTAGTCCCGGCTGGACCGGTCTAACATCTACTAATACTCACCTTACTGCCTGCACCAAGGGAAGTTTCAACGCAAACTGATTGATTTGTTGACACCATTGGCAATAGTTGCTGAATGCTTTCCCTGAGAAATGAAAAAACCTCATCTCATAAAATTGGTATGTACATATGTAGATGATATCGTTATGGTGTCTGACATCTGTTAATCTTGAATTTATTTTTTGCAGATGTGGACACTCTATAAGAATGGTAAGCTTGAAAGCATCATTGACACATCCTTAGATGGTGATTTTGATGCTGAGGAGGCCTGCAGGTTTCTGAAGGTTGGTCTCCTTTGCACTCAAGAGAACCCAAAGCTTCGGCCTTCCATGTCTACAGTAGTCAAGATCCTTGAAGGTGAGATTGATGTTGATTCCTTTGAAATCACAGAGCCGGGTATGATCACTGACTTTATGGATCTAAAAGTGAGACAGAACAATCAGAATCTTGCCCCACTTGTCTTCTCTGCTATTAACTCACCTCCAGAAGCTTCGCCCAAATCTTCAGGCGACACCACACATGCTTCTATGAGTTTCACTGCAATAATTGATCGTGCATAGCCATTTATGAAGCTTCAATTTATTGACCTAGATGGAAATATTGGGCAATTTAGGGCTCAAATAACAACTTCACTATTTTTTTTTTGTTTCTATTGCAATATTGTATCAATCTAAGAAAAATATAGGTTGTGCATGGGATAGATATGATCCATAATATCTGAAAATATAGAGAAATAATAAGATTAAATTTGGAGCTATGGTGGTCATCATTTGCTGGCTTTGAGAAAGCTTTTAGTTGAAAGGAGATCATTTGGTCTAATTCAAATTTAGTTAAAGCGGGTTTGCAATCATCAAATTTATTTTGAGATAAAATGGATTATCAATTTTGATTGAGTAGTTATGAATTGTACTTATTTAGCAAAGCTAATGACTGTGGCTTTCATCATGATCAGATTTAGTTGAGAATACTCAGATACATATCTTTTTATTTAAATTAAGGACTTGTTGGCTTTGGGTATGTGGTGGCAAGTATGACGGGTTAGCGGTAAGGATTCCAACTCTCTAAATTTTTTTTAATTTTGTTTCGAAGGTTTCTGAGATCTATGAGACTTGCTTTGGCTTTATGGTTGGAGAAATTTGAAGGGCCATCATGTCTTACGGACGATCTACTATTCTGTGTGGACACCAGACGGTTCTCCTGTCCGGTTCGGCGCTCGGTACCGAGCGATATCGAGCGCGGTATATTTTTGGGGTGTCGTGGCGTATTTTTATTAGTCTCCAGACGCTCCGGACTCTGCATGGAATAAAAATTCATCTTACGGGCACTTCTCATTTTATGCATTCATTGCTTAAAACAGTCTGGATTTTGAGCTAAACATCCGCTGAAGCTCTTCAGATCTTCAGATTCTTCTTACAGGAAGACTGATTTTACCCCTTTTTTTTATTTATTTCATTCTCTGTTCATTCATTTACTGTGTTTTTTCCCAACAGGTCGGTCACTCAGTAATCCAAGGAAATAGCATAAAGCAGTAGTAATGGTATAGTTTTATCTTGCAATTATATAAAGAGTCCTTTACAAAGGCTCTATGTGTTATCGATCTGATGAAAGTAACTCTCTTTTCTCTGTGCTCATATGTGATTACTCACGAATGCTCTTCCCAATGGGAATTTTTTGTGATTGTGACCGGTGGGCGGCAATGGCGGGCAGTCAGCGGTCGGCGACAGCCGTTGGTGGCGGCCGCTGATGGACAGTGGCCGCAGGTGGTGGGCAACAGGTAGCAGCGGAGACGGTGGCCAGCGTGGTTGGTCAAAGAAGCCTTTGAGCCGTATAAAATTGAATTAAAATGGAATACATCTTATTTACTTTACTTTATCTTGAATTTGCTTTTCATCCAATCAAACACAAGAAAAAGTAAAAAAAAAAATAATGCATTTACTTTGCATTAACTTTTTCTTCTAACCAAACAACTCCTTAATATGATTGAGCCCATGCTCAAAAAGAATAAACATTATGTAGGAGTATAAGGATCAAAGAAAGATAATTGAGAGCTGCTCCTCAAAACTTTGAGATTAATTTTCCATTTAATACATGGCTTAAGATGCTGAGATTACCCACAGATATAATCATGAAATCTGCTGTTTCTTTATAGATTTAAAAAATAAAACCCCTACAGTAATTCAATGAGAACCCCCACCCCTCTAAGCACTAAATAAAGAGATGTTTTATTATGTTGTGGCATCCCACAATAAGAAGAAATAAAGAGAAGAGAGAAAGAGGAGAAAGAGAAAGAGATTGGTGTCAAAGAAAGAAAGAAAACTTTTTAGAGAACCAAAATACTTGTCATGCTTAATGATATCTTTGGTTTATTGCTCTATCTTAGCAACTAGAATCAAAGCAAGGTTAGAAAAAATTTTTGATAGCCATGAAAGTCAATTTTAAGATGTTTGATGAATCAAAGAGTTTTTAGATAACCAAAATGTTTGTTGTGCTCATCCAATAAAAAAATTATAAAGACATTCGCTTGGCATAGCAAGATGTTTGACATCGCAAGTGTGTAAGATAAGACAAAAATGGATGAGAAAGCTCTCTCAGCTATTTAGTTGTTCTTGGCAAACAAGATATTGATAGAGGTCTTAGAAGAAACTACCACAAAAGATTTGTGATTTAAGCGGGAGTCTTTGTATATAATCAAATGTCTCTTTGATAAATTTATTTAGCAGTAGGGACTCCATTTATTTTGTATGTTGGAATGCATGCCTACTAAATAATATTTGAAATGATTTTGATTACATCATTTAAGATTTAAGAAATATTAATGTGATTTATGAATGATGAAGACTAAACTTTATTGTTATTGTGTTATTTGCCTCTCTCTTATGCATTTTTGAGATACATTTACTATCATGACACAATAAGTTTAGAGAATATTAAAAGATATTATTTTTTAAGTTTGAGGAAAGTGATAAAGTAACTAAAGGATTATTGCATGTTAGAAGGAGATACTATAAGCGGAGATTTTCTAGCTTATGATCATGACAGGAGTAAATCTCATAATAAAATCAATGAAATTATTTGATCTTAATCTCTATAGAGTCGTGACTCTTAAATTTAGGTTCATTTAAGCTCGATTATATAAATTTAAATGTCCACTTTCATAATTTTTATTTATTTTTTTTATAATTATTTTATGATTCATTCTAAATAAAGATGCATTCTCTTACCTACACCCCCTTCGCACTCAAATAAAACGTGGAAAAGGAAAGGAGAAGTTCTTATGATTATTCTTTTAAGGTGTGCTCATATTTCCCTTTATTGATATCTTTCATTATTGGGTTGGCTTTCGTAGCCTTGGGCCTGCTGCAGCTTCCACTGATAAATTGTAATATAGCCAAAATTATATAATATAATGGTGTACTCTATTCATATTCTCATCTGTTCTTTTACTAAATTTAAGTATTTGCATCTAAAAGACTTATGAGCATTCTTGTCTAAGTTCTGACTGTTATTCAGGCTATCATATTTATACTTTTGCCTTAAATGATTGACTTTGATTTTTTTTTTTTTTTTGACATTTAGATCAGTTAAGATTTTATTTGGGAAGGTTTTCTTATTGCTCCTTAAAGTAGTTTTTCAGAATTTTAGTACTAAAAAGCTGCTTTAAGAAGCAGTAAGAAAATCATCCCAAATGAAGTCTAAAGCAAACTCATACACGCATAACATATGCAAGAATCAAATTTAAGATATGTTGATTGATAGCCAAAACTCCCAATCAACAGACCAAAATGAGCTGTCAAAAAACTATTACTCTTAAGTCAAGAATATAAGTGGTAACATTAGGAAAAGCATATTTCATACACAAAAAGACTTGCATCCTAAAGAAGCAATTTGTATTTCTTTTCATATTTTTTCTTCAAAATTTATGATTTTTTTATGCTCTTGCTCTATTTGCTCGCTTGTAAGTCAATTTTCTCCTGATCTCCGCCCTCAAATTTCCCAAAAAAAAGCATATTTCTTACATTTCATGCACGGTTATGCAATTGTTTATCTATTGAACATTTTAAGTAGCTAATGAAGGTTTCGTTACTAACTATTTTCTTTAAAAATTTTATACTAAAAAACTGCTTTAAGAATTAGTAAAAAAATCATTCCAAACTAAGCATAAGATCTGAGAATTATGTGGCAAAATGACTTATCATTAAAAAAGATAACATAATCGAACAACTAAAATAAAATTCACATATCGATCGAGATACTAAAATTAATATGCATGCCACTAATTAGGGTTGTTAAAAATAATTATTAGAGGTAAGAGAAAATCTTAATCTTATTCGACACAATTAAATACATAAAATTCATTTTAAATAAAGTATTTTATCAGCATTTATCATTAAGGCTTCATTTGAAATAATTTTTTGATATTTAGGGCAAAGCCCATCCAACAAATAGATGCAAGAACAGCTAAAATAAAACTACAAGACTTTAAAGAGAATAACGTAAGTCCAAAAGACTCAGAAAAATCCTAGAGAAGTGCTGGACCCTTTGGTTGCCATGGATGACCTTCCAAGACAAGATAGCTGGTTGAAAGAAAAGACAACTTGCAAAGGCGGCCACAAAAACCAACTTAACGAAGCCCACCAAAAATCCTGAAGAAGTTCAGAATGCGAAAGGAGAATAAGCAGCAATGGCCGAAGCATCCCAGATGGAGTAAACTCAAATAATAAGATGCTTAGTGTCATCATATGATATCCGCTTAAAAACTTTGGCATGAATAGCATTCTTAAAAGAGAATCATAATATTAAGTTAAGTGTTGCAGAGATGAGGATGATCAGGTGGATGAGTGGCTTTACTCTTAGAGATAGGATACGAAATGAGCATATACGTGAAAATGTTGGAGTAGCTACAGTGGCAGATAAGATTAGAGGGTGTCGCCTTAGATGGTTTGGTCATATAAAACGGCGACCTTCTGATGACCCGATTAGGAGAGTAGATGTATTAGACTTAACCTATATCTAGAAAGGTAGCGGTAGGCCTAAGAAGATCACTTGGTTAGAAAAAATTAGAAATGAACTTTCTTTATTAGATTTAGATGAGAATTTAACTCTTAACATGACACTATGTAGTCTATCCTACATAGTGGGATAAAGGCTTGTTGTTGTTAAATACATTAAACATTTAGATCAGAATCCTCATCGAGCAACCATGCATTGGAGAGATTATTATGTGCGGAGTCCGGACGGAAGAACCGTCCGGATTCTGTGAGTGTGCACAGTAAAAGCGCAGTATGCACATTAACTTCGTTTTTACTGCACACACTTAGAGAATCTAGACGGATCACTGGTCCAGACTTTGCAAGTAATAATCTCTCCATGTATTGAGCAAGCACTAACGGTACTAAATCCATCATCGCCATAAATGGAAAACAGATTTGAGAATTACAATCAACGATTTAAAAACCGGACCGGACCGGCCGGTTCAACCGGTTGAACCGGGAACCGGTCAGGCTGCCGGTCCGGGCCTATCATTAGAGTCGGTTTTCAAAACCTTGATTACAATATTTAAAACCATCTACATACCATGGCTCACCGTCGGCAAAGGTCCTGTCTTTTCGTCTCCAACACCGGAGATAGCATCTCTGTCTTTGCAATCTCCAAACAACAACCTCACCTCAACATCTTTATTGCCTGCAGCAGCTTCGCTGCATGGTCGATCACGCGCTTCCAAACGGGAAAGCTGAAACCAAAAACCATTATAAACCTATAATCCTCATAAACTCTCCTCCGTCTCAGATCCGACAAGCTACGCACACAAAGCTCCAAACATCCCCGCCGGCGAGC